ATCCTAATTTGATTATAACTGGAATAAGCCTAAAAAACGTATTAACTCATGCTGACCGTAGCATTAATCATTTGATCAATGTTTGGCAGCGAGAAAGAGTCTTTAGGGCATGCTTTATTTAAATCTTTATAATCTATACATATTCTATATTTATTATTTTTTAAGCAGTACCACTACATTCACTAACAAATCACGATAATTTACCTCTCGAATCGAACCTATATTTAGTAACCGCATTACCTCTACCTTGACAAACCTATTTCTGGCCTCTACTATCGGTCGTTTCTTCTACCTTACCAGAGGGAAGTTAGCATCCAAACTCAGCTTTTGGACAACCACTTCAAATAGGATATCTATCATATCTGAGAGCGACCATGCAAAATAATCAATGTTAGATTTTAGAAAATCCATAATTTTTAACCTGAGTTCAGAACTCAACCCCGTTCCTAAATGAAATTTTCTTTCTAAAAACTCCTCGAATAAAGGCCACTTGTTCGAACTTTTTTGCGGTTGATTTGGTCGCATTCGTTTCCTTCGGTACTTGAAACGACTTCGGTACCTGATATAATTCTGCTGACTCCTCTTCTTTATCATCTTCAATTGTGGTAGAAGAAGGCACCGGTTCCTGTAATTGATATTTGCTCATTTCGTTTCCCTTGCTATTGGAAACGGTCACTACGTTAATCTCCCTTGCAGCCAATTGAGCTCCTATGATCTGCTTGATCCCTTCTGATGTGGGGAATTTCAACAACTGATGGTACGTTGAAGGTACAACATTCATTTCATGTATCCGTGGTCTTCCAAGGATTACATTATAACACAAGTCGCCATCTACCACTTCGAACATGGTGGTCTTCATTACTCCTTCGGCATGCGTGGGCAATAAAATTTCTTCTCTGGTCGTAACACTTGTTAAGTTGAACCCGACTAAAAGCTTTGTTGCTGGAACTATGTTTCCAGTTAACTCCGCTTGCTCCAAAACTCTCCATTGTATGATGTTGGATGAACTTCCCGGATCAACCAAAATACGCTTAATTTTGAAATCTAAAACATTAAGAGAAATTACCAAAGTATCATTGTGCGATAGAAGAAGTCCATCAGCATCTTCTTTTCTAAAGGTGATGTCATGTTCTGTGACCTCTCGTATCCTCTTGCCACGAGTTACCGAAATCTTTGTCTTTTTTGCTGCCGAAAATGTCACTCCATTTACTTCGTCTCCACCAAAAATTATGTTTATCGTCATACGAGGTGACCCTGCAGCCGGCTTGATGGTTCTGTAACATCCCGATTTTTCCTATAGCTGTTCTTAAGAGCTCTCTGAGGTGAGCATTCTTCAACAACATTGCTACCTCTTGACGAATGTGTCGGCATTCCCCAATCCTGTGGCCGTGAGTTCCATGGAATTCACACCATAGATTAGGATCCCTCTGGCTAGGATCCGGTAAGATTGTTTTCTGGAACCTAGCTTCTTTAATATTCCTCATAACTGACACTAGTTCTACTAAACTGATGTTGAAGTTTTAGTCGGATAACCTGGGATATGTTGACTCTCGGGACCTCGATGCCTCTTTCTCCTGCAATGATCTACTACTTAGGCCACGATACGCCCTTCTATCTGAAACGAACCTATCCGATTACTGAAAACCTTTATTTCCACGCCTATCGGCCCTCTCGTAAGGTTGAAAACGAATCCTAGAGGACCTCCGATCTGCATCAAAATAAATTTTGAACTTATCTTGATTCCGATCACCATTCCGTCCTTTGGAAGACATGAAAGAGCCCAATTGATCATCTTCTATTATGATCTTTGACTCGTAGCGATTGTGAACATCTGCCAATGTGGTTTCCTGAAATTCTAACAAGCTTTCCTTCAGTTTTCAGGAGGCATCGGAACTCAACGGGTTGAGACCCTTTGTAAATGCCTCCGCTGCCACTCATCCGGTACTGCTGGTAACAACATCCTTTCCTTCTGAAACCCGAATAACGAACTCTCACAACAGTTTAGATTCTTCTTGGGATATTTTGAATATATCCGCCTTCCTTTCTTGGACCTTTCTTGCTCTATCATGAGCTTTGATAAACGAATCTCCAAGCATTTAAAGTTAATCAATGTAATGCTCAAGTAAAAGTGAATACCAAGTTAAGGCCCCCTTCATCAGAATTTCGCCAAACTTCTTTAACAAAACAATTTCGATCTTGTGTTGGGCCAAGTCATTTTCCTTTATAGCTGTAGTGCAGGTCGTGACATTTTCCTGTGGATTTGAAGTTCCATCATACTTTGAAATATCTGGCATTTTTAACTTTTTGGGAATCAATTCTGGAGCTGTACTTGGCCTAATGGCAACTGCGTATACTTTTTGGAATCCCTGTCCCTTTAACATCGACGGCGCTCCTGGGATCTGATCTATCCGAGCATGGAATTACTTTGCATTCTAGTCTATTCGTTCATTAATTTCTCTCATGATTCTCATGTCCTCTATTTTGAAAGGATCGTTTGTGTTGTTGACGTTCCAAATCCACTACCAATACCTCCTGACTTGTTAAAACCAAACCCCTTCCTTGGAGCGTCGTTATCGGTTCTTTGAACTGTTTGATTTGCAGAGACGCTAGGAGGAATCTGAGCTCTTCCATTAGCATTATTAGAAGTACCCGATAATGCCTGTTTCAACTCTGTCATCACCTAATCGTGTCTTGAGAGGTGATCCATAATTTTTTTTGTTGCTCTCTCAAAATTTTGACCGTTTTAACAACGTATTGATCATCCGCATCATCAGGAGTTTGATTCCTTACATGTCGAGAATTTTGACTTTCGCGAACTAGAGTTGTTTTATCTCCTTCATTGCGGGTTTTGCTGGTTGAATCATCACGTTGGAACACATCCTCACGTTCATTGTGTGCTCTAATATTATAGGAATGAGGAGGTGATACGTGGAGCTGAAGACAGGTAAGATGTGAGTCAGCAAATAGTCGGTACCGATTGTAAGCATGTAACCGATGCTGGGTGAATTCCGAAGACAGGATAACCAATAACAAAGATTTGAAGAATTGATATCGGATAATATTCAATGAGCAGCCATTACAGAGAATATCTGCATTTATAGCCAACCGTTATACAGCCATCAATGACGATTTTATTCTCATTCAAGAGGAGCTTGATTTGGGGATCTTGTCTCCTTAAATATAGCTATAAATAAGAGAATTAGTATCCATTGTAGGACACAAAAAATATATACAAAGTCTATATTCTGCTCTCAAATTATAAATTACTTGCTTTCTTTTGTTTTTAATATTGTTCATACTACTGCTTCCAGAGAAGCTCATCATACTAGCATGCTTATATTTCTTTAAGTTATTTTTACATTCTTGATTTCATTCTCGTTTATTTCATATTTTTGGATCAAGTTAATTCACATGTCTATAAATCATGTTACAAATTTAACTGTACTATTTTACGGGTAAATAATCTCGGTTGTACCTAAGGTGACCAATATTTTCATATACGTTTTGCACATATCAAGGTGATTAATTATGTCCCTGTAATATCAGTACCAATTCCTTTGCATCTAATAGGATATGAGTCTTTCTCCATCCTTTACGAACAAAATCTTTTATCCTTATTTATCAAAAATCGTAGACTAATATGTTCTTCATGCTCCTAAATGCTGAATAATTCGACTTCGGATGGTCGTAAATTACATTACTAGTAAATCTTAGGGAAACTATAGTTGAGAAAACATGAAATTATATTGTGTGATAAAAATCATGTGAAGGCCTTCATCACTTTCTATTTTTCCTTAAATGTTTGCATAAATTTTTTCGCTGTTTAAAAGTAAAAGAAATTGTAGCTTACAACAACAAAACTATGATTAAATTTTGGATTAAATACGAATGATTTCATACATGAGAGCATTCTTCTAGGCAAATCTTCTTTTCTAGTAATTAAGAGCATATTATAATTAAATTTTGTAAAGCTCAAAGCTATGCCACATCGGTGGAAGACTGAAGAGTGTCTTAGTTGCCAGTTGAACGTCTCCTTTGCGTCCCAAGGCGTTGTTAGACTTTGAGAAAATTTATTATTAACTTTTTAGTTAAGAGTTTAAATTATGTACTGGTAAATATTTTTATATTATTAGAGTAAGTTAACTTATTAAAATATATTCTTTACTCTATTTCTTGGTTATAGGATCACGCTTTTTATACGGAGGAGTTACATGTTATTGTAGTCAATTTAACCGCATAGTGTACAAAATTATATACTATCAATATATATAATTTAAATTGAACTTTTTTAAAGGGGGACTAAATATACCTCTTGTTGGTAAAAACATATATGATGCTTAAACTTCAATCTCAAAATATTCTAATTAATATTTCACTTTTTTATATTTATAACTACTTTTCTTTCTAAGAAAACCCATTTTTGCATAAAAAATTTTCTTTTATTTTTCTGTTTTACTCCATCCGTTTACTTTTACTTATCACGTTTCGCTTTTCGAGAGTCAATTTAACTAATTTTTTAAGCTAAATTAAATTAGATTTTCTTAAAATTTTAAAATTAAAATTTAGATATTTGGATACTATACGAAAAGTACTATAATTTATAATTTTCTCATATTAATATTATGAAAAAATATTTGTTAAAATATTGGTCAAAATTTATACCGTTTGACTCCCGAAAATGAAAGATGACAAGTGAGTGAAATGAGGGGTATTTGTAAAAAAAGTACTACAAAGATAACCGGGGCATGCTATGCCTATCTTAGTAGGAGTATATCATTGCTAGAATATTTTATTCTTGAAGGAAGTTTCTATATCAAATAAATAAACAAACTGTGATCCCCATTTTAGGAAGGTGGGCCCCATTTTCAATCTTTTGATAATTTTATAAGGCAGTTGAAGCTTCCCTTCCTCGCTTCCCTCCTAACCCAAACACCTTCAAAACCTATGTACATTTAACAGTTACATACATATAAACTAGTTCAGTGTTAAAATATTCTTGTATAAGTATCTTCTCATTTTTTTAGTTCTCAAAAGTAGCAATAGAGAGAAGAGCATACATACAGAAGAGTGATTCTCTTCTTCTTTTTTTTCTCTTCCTCTCTTTCACTCATTGTATGTTGTGCCATTCCTTAGCCAGCTCCTGTTTTTTCCTTCTTTTTTTCCTTCTAATTTTTCCCTCTATGTTGAAGCCAATAAAGCCAAGTTACTGAACGTAAAAAGGATCGATTTTTCTATTGAGAAATTCATTTTGGTACAGGGGTTAAATTTGGAAAATGCAGAGTATCAGTGTGTTACTGCTGCTGTCTTTGTTTTTCTTTTCATTGTTTTGCTCCTCTGTTAGAGCCACTGTTTCATATGATGACAGAGCTATAATCATCAATGGGAAAAGAAGGATTCTTATTTCTGGTTCAATTCATTACCCAAGAAGCACTCCCGAGGTAATTATGCAAAAATGCTGTTGTATCATTTATAATATTTTCATGGCCATTTTGACAAATGGATATACCTTGTTTTATTGTAAATTTTGTTCCTTTAATGTTTTGTGATTTGAGAATGGTTTCTGACAAATGGTCGTCTTCTTTTTTCTGTAATATATGTTTACGTTAATGCTATGTGGCTGTAAGAATTTTTCTGAAGGTTGTCATTTTTGCAGATGTGGCCTGATCTTATTCAAAAGGCTAAAGATGGAGGCTTAGATATTATAGAGACTTATGTATTCTGGAATGGGCATGAACTCTCTCCAGGAAAAGTAATGCTTTAATATTCATCGTAAGATTTTGCTATTAATATCAAGAAAAAGATAAATTGACTTTTTTTTTTCCTTCTTCTTTTTAACTGTATTCTGTTTACAGTTTAAATTTGAGGGGAGGTATGATCTGGTTAAATTTATCAAATTGGTACAACAAGCAGGCCTCTATATTAATCTCCGCATTGGGCCTTACATTTGTGGAGAATGGAATTTTGGGTAATTCAAATAAAAGTTAGTAGAAAGCAAATGGACTTTATATTCCAGTTTTTTTCAGGTTTTACAATCTTTATTTATGCAGGGGATTTCCTGTTTGGTTAAAATATGTACCTGGTATGGAGTTTAGAGCAGACAATCACCCTTTCAAGGTTAGATTTATGACTTTGGATTTCTTCATCAGTTAATCCAAATGGGATAATATGTTCGGTTCCTAAATTGTTGTTATGTTTACTGATTGACTATGTTGCAGTTAGCAATGCAAGGATTTGTTCAAAGAATTGTCAACATGATGAAGTCAGAAAATTTGTTTGAACCTCAAGGTGGACCAATTATTTTGGCACAGGTTTGAAAATATGCTCATTTATTGTCTTTACTTAATTTTTTGATTTAGTAGAGTATTATGTTTAAGGAAACCTTGAAAAGTAATACTGCAGATAGAAAATGAGTATGGACCAATTGAGTGGGAAGTTGGTAGTCCTGGTAAAGCTTATACAAAATGGGCAGCTGAAATGGCTGTGAGTTTAGACATTGGAGTCCCATGGATCATGTGTAAGCAAGAGGATGCCCCTGATCCTGTGGTAAGCAATTCTTAGTCGACATTTATTTATCTCCACTTGCTTATTCCACAATATCCTCATAGTCGATAATTAGCCTGCCCTCTACCCTAGGGGCAATTGCCATTTGACTTAGATCACCTCTACATGTCCGATGACGAATTTCTCAATTTCTGAAACTAAAACCTAGAATTCTTAAGACTTGTGTCAAGATTTTTTGGTCATTTAATTTGTCCCCACAACTTACAGTTGTTGATTCTGCTGCAGATTGATACTTGCAATGGCTTCTACTGCGAAGATTTCAGTCCTAATAAGCCCTACAAACCTAAAATGTGGACAGAAGTCTGGACTGCCTGGTAATTTCCAAGAGTTTAAAAATATATATATATATTTTTATTTAACCATGTATAGCAATATGTACAATTTGACTCATGAGTCAGTTCTCAAAAGGAAACAATACTTTCAACAGACTGCTCCTATACAGGATAACTATTCAAATATTCCAGATGCCTTTGCCATGTATCTATAGTACTTTTGCCCATAGAGGTGAAGTTGCAAAATGTTCTCTCTAACTAGTTGACAGCCTTCTCTTCTATGAGATCTGAACCTACGACTACGAGTATTCCTTTCTGCTGCAGACAGAAAACAAGTGATGCATACTCTTGGTTTAGAGTTGTTAGTCTTTCCAACAGCCCATACTACCTCAGTTCACGTTCCTTATCATTAGTTTAATGTCAATTAACTTTCTATTCTACTTGTTCAGGTATACGAAATTCGGTGGTCCAGTTCCTCGTAGACCAGCTGAAGATTTGGCTTTTTCAGTTGCAAGGTTTATTCAGAACAATGGCTCATTCTTCAATTACTACATGGTTAGTTATTTGTTTTTGTTTAAGTGAAATTGTTAACTAGAGGACTTATAAAAGATAAATTTTTTTCTTAATTAAAATATCTTTTTTCATGTATATGCAGTACCATGGGGGAACAAATTTTGGTAGGACAACTTCAGCACTTTTCATTGCCACTAGCTATGATTACGATGCTCCGCTAGATGAATATGGTATGGAAAATAAAGCAAGCCATATAACTGTGTTTTCTCAAATTTACACACATTTGCACATCTGCATAAACAAAAGTAAAATAATGGAAAGGTGATTTATTCTATTGATGTAATAGGGCTGTTGAATGAACCAAAGTATGGGCACTTGAGGGATTTGCATAAAGCTATCAAGCTATCTGAACCAGCTTTAGTTTCCTCATATCCCACAGTCAATTGGCTTGGAAAGAATCAAGAGGTCATTCTGATATAGAATCTTTAGCCTTCTAGTGGAATTATCATCTTAATTTTCATCTAACAATGATTTACATTTTTTTATATCCAACAACAGGCTCATGTCTTTAGATCAAAATCCGGGGATTGTTCTGCGTTCCTATCCAACTATGACACTAAATATTCAGTTAAAGTCACCTTTCAGAATATCCAGTATGACCTGCCTCCATGGTCCATCAGCATTCTTCCTGATTGCAAAACTGCTGTTTACAACACCGCTAGGGTAATGAGAGAAACCCTTCTTTGCACCCAGGAAAAAAAATTAGTATTGTTTTTCTTTTCCTCTCTTTTATGGCCAAATACCAATGGCACTTACTGAATCTATCTTTACTAGTTCTGATTTTGGTTGTTAATATGGAAAGACGTCATTCTGATAATTCTTTGTGTTTTCTTGAGTAAGATATACTAATATTTTCTTTAAAAAAAAAATATAAAAACATTTGTTAAAATACATATGACGTTCAGGAGCAGAGTTTCTAACATCTTCTTGCAACTGCTGCAGATTAGCTCCCAAAGCTCACAGATGATGATGGCACCTGTAATTGGCAGCTTATCTTGGCAGTCATACAATGAAGAAACTCCATCTGCTGAAGAAAGCGACACGCTTTCAGCCAATGGACTACTGGAGCAAATAAATATTACTAGAGATTCCTCAGACTATCTGTGGTACATGACAGAGTGGGTACCTTCATCTCCTTGCTTCTTTCAAAAGATTTTTATGTTTACTTGGTAGATTCAATATTTTTTATAATCTTTTGGTTACTTGCCCCAGTGTAAACGTAGGGTCTGATGAAGGATTTCTAAAGAATGGAAAGGACCCTTTTCTCACTGTTATGTCTGCTGGCCATGCTATGCATGTCTTCATCAATGGCCAACAATCAGGTAGTGAGACCTGCACTCTATTTGGGAATAGGGATTGATTAATACGTCTAATTGTCCGTTCTTATCTCCATTTCGCTTCTATTTGGCTTTACCTTGTGGTAGGAACTGTTTATGGGGGATTAGATAATCCAAAACTGACATATAGTGGCAATGTGAAACTAAGAGCCGGTACTAACAAGATTTCTTTGCTCAGTGTTGCTGTTGGTCTCCCGGTTAGTTCTACATCATGTTTCTATATTCTCTTTCAACTTTCATGGTATTTATGCTAGTAAATGCATTTCAGAATGTTGGTTTGCACTTTGAGACATGGAATACTGGAGTTCTTGGTCCAGTTACATTGAGTGGTCTCAATGAGGGGACAAGAGACTTGACAATACAAAGATGGTCTTACAAGGTTTCTTCCCTAATAACTCTCCCTCTTTTCTACCAAGTGTTTTGTCTAAATCTAAATGCCAGAGTCTTCCAAGAGAACAAGAAATTTCGCGTTTAAGTTTCTTTGAATAGACAACTGTAGATACTAGGATCCACTCCCATCTAGGACAAAATTTATTTTCTTTTCTAGTTTTTTTTTTCCTTTTTCTCGAAGAGCTATTAGAATGTGGGAGAAACCAAGAGAATGGAGGTGTAAAACATCTATGGTTTTTTATCTGCAGGTTGGTCTAAAAGGTGAATCATTAAGTTTTCATACCTCAAGTGGAGGTTCCTCTGTTGAATGGGTTGAAGGTTCACTTTTGGCTCAAAGGCAGCCCCTCACTTGGTACAAGGTAAATTCCTAATGTAAATGTCAACATTATGATACAATTTTTGATCACATTAAACGTACACCATTGGATATGGTTTATCAGTTTTACGAATAAAATAGCACAGTTAATATACCAAAGATTTTCCAGGCTACATTTGATGCACCTGAAGGAAATGATCCAGTGGCGCTAGACATGGTAAGTATGGGAAAAGGTCAAATATGGGTCAATGGTGAAGGTGTAGGCCGCCACTGGCCTGGATACATAGCAAAGGGCCACTGTGGGGAATGCAATTATGCTGGAGATTACACTGAAAAGAAATGTCAGACAAACTGTGGACAGCCTTCTCAAAGATGGTAAGGGATTTATATTATTTCCAGCAAATTTTGGGTTGGATTATGGACTACACCGATTTTCCTACTTTGTTAGTTGAGGGGATGCATTTATGCGTCATATTCAATAGAATCAAACATGCTTTTAAAAGCTAACAAGGTTGACCATAGAGAAAATTAGCCTACTTCCTCAAGGTGCAATCTGAAGAGAAGAACACAAGAAGCTTTGGAAAATAGTGTACCATAACTTGAGCTTGTTGTCTGAAAGCAAATGAATTGTGAAACTGATGATTTTAGGTATCATGTCCCAAGATCATGGTTGAAACCAAGTGGAAATCTGTTGGTAGTTTTTGAAGAATGGGGTGGTGTTCCAACCAGAATTTCTTTGGTTAGAAGAGCAACTGCCAGTGTTTGTGCTGATATTGTTGATGGACAGCCAACTCTAAAAAACTGGCGAATGGTGAGCTCTGGAAAATCTGGTAATGTGCGTCGGAAAGCTCACTTGTGTTGTCCAGATGGGAAGAAAATCTCAAAAATACAGTTTGCTAGTTACGGAGTGCCACAAGGAACTTGTGGAAACTTCCGCGAGGGTACCTGCCATGCTCACAAGTCATATGATGCATTTGAGAAGGTGTGTCATTGTTTTTACATTAAGTACTTCAAAGTTTTCTGAGAACAAAGTGCTGAGTGATGACTGCAATTACCTGGTTTCCTGATTCTAAGTTCTTTATTTTGCTTCGTGTCTAAACGCAAGATTTAGCTTTAGCCTCAGTTTTAACATGTATTCTGTTTGCTAGTCAGTTAAAGGTGTTCATGATAAATGTTCCTATGTTTAGCTTACTTTTGCTAACTTTCTAATGGGATATCACAGAATTGCATTGGACGGCAATCTTGTTCAGTAAATGTTGTGCCTAAAGTTTTTGGAGGAGATCCGTGTCCAAATACTTCAAAGAAGCTATCCGTGGAAGCTATTTGTAGATGAGATTATTTAAGGGAGTTGGATACAAAGTGAAACCAAAATCAATTCATTATAAATGCAGAAATACGTGATTACATGAATATCGTTTTCAGAAAAATTTTCCTTGCTTCTCTGCACAAGGGCTGCTGATTCGGTTATTGGATTTGAAGAAATTGTACAGCATCTCGATCCCATAGGCCAGTATAATTTTGAATTTAGATAAGCTTCATGTATGGATATATAACTACAATTCATTGATCCAGGCCACCATTCCTCCAAATGGTTGAAAACCTGGAATAGAAAGGGATTACATATAAACTGTGTTTATGAAATAACCAGGGAGCCAATTTTCATTTATACTTGTAATAATCTCACTGTGTAACAGTTATTTGAAAAAATTCTATAAAGGCATTGCAACGTTTTTTGCATCTTACTATTAGGACTCTGAGGATTTATGTCATAGTAATATTTGTATTTAACCCATATATGTGATGGACATATACTTATGTTTTGTGGATGATATATTTATCCTTGTATATACCAATATTACTGTAAATATAGCAATACTGGCTCTCTGTTAAAGACTATTATGGTATCAGATTAGCCAGCAAAATACTCATAAACTGTGGTGGCTGAACGAAACATCAACACAAAATCGAGAGGTTTTGACCAATATTGTCCCTTATCTTTGAGGGTAGGTCTATTTTGGTCCCTCAAATATAACCCTGAGCATATTTAGTCCCTTAAGTATGCTAAAGTGGAGCATCTTTAGTCTCACTGACACAGGTTTTGACCAATATTGTCCCTTATCTTTGAGGGTAGTTCTATTTTGATCCCTCAAATATAACCCTGAGCATATTTAGTCCCTTAAATATGCTAAAGTGGAGCACCTTTAGTCTCACTGACACAATATATTCAAAAACTAACGGTGTTACCCAACTCTGATTCATAAAGCAAATCTTCTGCTCTAAAGCAAAATATTTTCTCTCATTTTATTAGATAACACAAATTATCACTTTAATTCCTCATTTTTAGATAATGCCTTCTAAAATTTTGATCTTGAATATATCCCATTCTGTGCCAGTTTTCAATGAGAAAATGACACTGTATAACCGCTGTTAAAAAAATAGCCGAAAAAATGTATAAAATTTTTAAATTGTTTTGTGTATATATATACATTGAAAAACTTCGGTTGATTTTTCCAAAAAGAAAAGTTAAAATTTGAAAAAAATAGAGCTGGCNTTCAAGATCAAAATTTTAGAAGACATTATCTAAAAATGAGGAATTAAAGTGATAATTTGCGTTGTCCAATAAAATAAGAGGAAACATTTTGCTTTAGAGCAGATGATTTGCTTTATGAATCAGAGTTGGGTAACACCGTTAGTTTTTGAATATATTGTATCAGTGAGACTAAAGGTGCTCCACTTTAGCATACTTAAGGGACTAAATATGCTCAGGGTTATATTTGAGAGACCAAAATAGACCTACCCTCAAAGATAAGGGACAATATTGGTCAAAACCTCCAAAATCGATATAGCGCATAGTATCCTTACTGATGCTCACTTACCATCTCAATTTTCGGTTGATGCTGTTTTTTATGTTGTTTATACCGTCAACAAAATTGCCTACTCTTATTTTGAAAGGACTTTCTTCATTGGAAAAGCTTTTTCATGTACCTCCTAATTACAACTTTCTTCAAATTTTTGGTTATGAATGTTTTTCAAATATATCTGCTTAAGTTGTTAAGTGTAAAATTTTAATAATGATCCAATATCTATAAAGAAGTCTTGACTAATGTTGTAATTTATATTTTCAGGTGAAGCAAGCATTGCCAAAAAGGAATGAAGATCCACTCCATGTTTATATATCTTGAACCATTGCCTTACATGTGACTCACCTGCAAATACAAAACAACAGATTTTGTATGAAGGAAGATTTAAAAGAGAAAGGGAACAAAATGTAATGGGAGAAAACTTGAAGTGATGCTCCTCTACCCAATAAGGCATGGAGCACGAAAAGCACTCCCTGGATAAAACTAATCCAGCCCATCAACTCCTCTCTTTCTCTCTTCTTCAACAAAGCATGGAGAATGGAAGCAACTCCCTAGATCTCGACTTAGGAACACTTCCTGGATTATTAAATCCAACATATCCTTGTTGAAGAAAACAAAGCATGGGTCATGAATCAGGTATCAAAAAATAAGTGCGTGCACCGATCAGAACAATGGACAACTGCTGTCAAATCTGTCTATAAGAAGACTGGCGTGTATTCAAGGATAGCTGCGCAACTACACAAACTAATTCTAAACCTTTCTAGTTCTTAGTACAAATACTGTATTCTTGAGTCTACAAGTGCCATAAAAGATAGGAGGATATAAAACTCAAAAAGAGAGTTGTGTCATCTTTACAAAAGCAATTATCACTGGATGTTGTTGATGGTGAGCAAACCAAAACCATCATCATTGTAACCTATTATCAAAGATCTAAGAAGTCCCTTGTGACCCAAGAAAAATTGGATGTAAGTACCTCATCGGTACTGAACCAGTCTAATATTGTTGTGTCCCTTTATCCTTCAGTTTGTTTGGTTTACTTCTCTTTATCTATTCACTGTGCAGAATCTACTCGACTAAACTCAAATTAAGTCAACAAAGTTTTAATCGACAACAATTCAACCCCCCTCTTGTTATTTCAATTGGTATCAGAGCAAGGCTCACAAACCTTTCTTAACAGCTAGTGTGAAAAAGATCATGGGATCAAACACAGTCATCGGTACACTATTCCAAGAGGGAACCTCTCAGGTACGACCTCCATATTTCAACGGGCAACACTTCTCTCACTAAAGTTCGGATAGAAACATACACTATGTCATATGACATCAAAGTTTGGAGTGTGATCAAAAAGGAAATTTTTCAGTTTCGTCAAATAGTGATGAGGATGGTCAAGTCATAGTATCAACTGACCCACTTGATTTAGATGACTACACTGATGAACAGGCTGCTGTCATAACTGTGAATGCCAAAGCAAAAAATCTTATGTACAATGCTATCAGTGGAGAAGAGTATGAAATGATTTCGAGCTGTGAAACTGCCAAAAAAATGTGGGATAAATTGGAAGTAACATATGAAGGAACCAACAAGATAAAAGAAACAAGGATCAATCTTCTAGTTCGTAACTATGAACTATTCCAAATGAAAGATGGAGAATCAGTGGAGGAAATATTCTTCAGGTTCAGCAAAATCCTTGGAGATCTAAAGTCTCTTGGTAGACCAATCAAAAGTGGAGAACAGGTCAGAAAAATCCTTAGAAGTCTACCCACAATTTGGCAGCCCAAAGTTATTGCTCTAGAATGTCAGGACCTTGACAAAATGTGCTATGATGAACTTAGAAGTGATCTAATTGCCTTTGAGAAAACTCACTTGGACAGAAAAATTCAACAAGAAAAGAAGAAAATGGTTGCCTTTAAAGCAACTGTTGCTGAATCAGAAAATGAAGAAGAGGAGGAAGAACATGATGAAAATATAGCCATGCTCTCCCAAGTTGTCACAAGCATGATGAGGAAAAACAGATATAGCAGAAGAGGTAGATCAAACTTCAGAAAAGGAAGGGCGAGCAATGAAAATGATGGAAGATGCTATGAATATGAAAAATACAGACACATTTAAGCTGATTGTCGAGAACTGAAAAAAAAACTAAGCAGGAACTTTCAAAAGAAGAAGTCCTTTGGAGCCTGGAGCGATGAAGAAGAATCTGACCATGAAAAAATTGCAAATATGTATTTCATGGTCATAAAAGAAGATAGCAATAAAGACTCAGATGAGCCTGAGCTCATGGCAGAAAACAAAGCAGTTAAGGAAGAAGACTCTGGCGAACTCTGTCTTATGGCAGACGAAGGAACCAGTGAGGTACATCTTCCTTCGTGTCCCAACTGTTATGAACTTCAAGAATTTGTGGATATTTCCCTTACATATATCGAAAAAGTTTTAGGAGAACTCAGAAAAATCCAAAGAGAAAAGAAAGATTGGGCCCTAAAGTTGGAAGTATGTGAAATTGAGCGTGACATGCTTCAAGACGAAGTTAATAAACTTAAACTTTAACTGAATGGATTACTAAAATCCACAAGTCATAGCTCTGTCAAATCAAATCAGATTGTTCCTCATACATCTTTGATTAGAACTAAAAACTCTCATGGATGCTCTTATTGTGGTAAAAATGATCACAATACTAACCAGTCCAGGAACGAAATCAGAGCAGAAAGGGAGTCTAAAAATCAAAAACATTCATTGTGTTTTTACTGTGGAAAACCTGGTCACACTTTTTATCGTTGCAGGATCAAAGACAGCAGGAGATGAGTTTGGCGACCTAAATCCATTAGTCAATCTAACTCTCAGAAGTCTAACCATTCAGGACCCAAGCAGGCTTGGGTACCTAAAAACAAGTAAATTTGTTTTGCAGGAACACCGCAAGAAGAATCAAAAAGAAAAATGGTATCTTGACAGCGCGTGTTCCAGACATATGATTGGTAACAAATAATTATTCAAAATTATCACCAGACTAGATGGAGGAACAGTGACATTTGGAGACAAATAAAAAGGAAATGTAATTGGCGTTGGAAAAGTTCCTCTCAGCTTAACATGTGATGTAGATGAAGTGTATCTGGTTGAAGAACTTGGGTACAATCTTCTCAGCATTAGTCAACTATATGATAATGACTTTGAGGTTCGGTTCAAAAAACATGGTTGGTTTATTAAAGATGAATCGGGTAAAGTTATTCTCTCTGGAAATAGGGACAAAAATGTTTATACTATCAGTAACCTGAAAAACTCTAGTAATCAGATTTGTCTATCTTCCATTCTTGATGACCCCTGGGTATGGCATAGAAAACTTGGTTATGCTAGCATGCATACTATTCATAATCTTTCTAAAAATGATCTTATCATCGGTCTCCAAAACTAGATTTTTCAAAAGATCAAATTTGTGATGCATGTCAACTAGGAAAACAAACCAAATCCTCTTTTAAATTCAAAAACATTGTCTCCACTTCAAAACCTCTTCAATTATTGCATATGGATCTCTTTGGACCTACTAGAACTGCTAGCATATGTGGTAAAACGTATGCCTTTGTTATAGTACATGATTTTTCTAGATTCACCTAGGTTATTTTTCTGAGCCATAAAGATGAAGTTCTACAAAACTTTGAAGTCTTTTGCAAGAAAATACAACGTGAAAAAGGTTACTACATTTCCTCTATAAGAAGTGACCATGGAGGAGAGTTCGAAAGAAAGGCTTTTTAGAACATCTGCAATGATCAAGGGATCTCTCACAATTTCTCCTCCCCAAGATCACCACAACAAAATGGAGTAGTAGAACGTAAAAATAGAACTTTACAAGATATGGTGAGAACCAAAATTTTGGAAAATTCTCTCCCACGC